TGAAAATAGTAACAGTCGAGTGCAAAATAATATCATATGATAGCACTCACTATTGTTTTATGTGTATAAATGTCTCATTGTACGTTTTGTTGTTGTCATTTTGACAAATAAAACAATCAACTGCAAAATTGCAGCACAAAATGGCAACAAAGGAGAGAGTTCGTGTCATAGTTTATCATAATGCTGTGTCAGCTTCCTTTGTCACATTGTGGAGGAGATAAAAGCTTAAGCGTAAACCCACACTCATACCAACGCAATGGCACGCTCACACTTATATGCAAATATGTACATATGTATGTATGTATTKTTGAGCACTTACATGTGTCGAATGAGATGTTAAACTATTGTACGACGGTGAAGTCTTTTCGATTGTAATAAGTTTGCACTAAAGTAAATTCATAAAAATGTAACGGTAGAAGACAAAGAGCAGGAGATACGTGTAGAGCATTAAAGACATAAGATAAAGATAGAGTAGTAATATTTAGTAGCATATTCATGAAGAGTGTTAGTTAATATAGCAATTCAACTTAATTTCATAGTTCTGAGTAACACAAGTCTTTCTTTATATTTTTACTACAAACACACACACACACAAACACAACAGACTATAGTTCTTCAGTATTTGAAGCATGACTTGATGCTTCAAAAATGCACAACTAAAGCATGTTTTTGTAATAAACTGCGGTATTTAATCATATTTGGAAATAGTACATACATATATGTATATAGTTTATAAACCTATAGTAAGATCACACAAGCGCGAGCAGGGATTGACGCAAGAAATACTTAGAATGTTTAATCATAAATACATAAACACAGATATAAAGCTCGGAAATGTTTAATGTTTTAAAGGCTTATTCCAGGCAAGCTTGTTAACTTTTTAATTCAATAGTCGCTAATTAACGAGTTTTAGTCTAACTAATCGAATTATCGACTCGAAATATTAAACGTAAACAAGTGATAGAAATCCCTAAGAAATAATCCAGATTTAGATTTTTATTTGTGTAAAACTAGTAGTAGTTTTGCTAAAATAAATAATCGTATCAAGAATTGTGATTATTTCCGTTAAGCACGAAAAATATCAATTATTGTTTAGAAAATTATCGATTGCTGGAATAATGAATTGACAAGCTAACAAGAATTTAGTGAATACCCTCAATAATTTTCAAGTATTGAAAGCCACACAAGCCCCATTACATATCCATTGACAACTACTGTCACCAGTAGAAAAATTTGTGTTATCTGCTAAAATTTTGTGTGTGGTCATTTACAAATGTAAAAATACTCCACGAAATATCGAAGTAAAAAATATAATAACATTTGAAGAAAAAAAAAGAAATGTGCTTTCTAAGTTGGTAAGACTTTCCTTAACTTCCATGCCAAATAAGAGCGCGATCTGTCAACCAGTTTGTTTACAGCAGCTATTTAAGTCGGTACACCTTTAGTTCTTTGCGAATTTAAAATGAATAAAAATATCGAACAAAAAATTTGTCTCAAATTTTGTATTTCTGACTAAATTTCGTATGCGGAATAGTT